GATACTCAGCCCCAAATATAGAACTTTGTTGCTATTTCAAATGATGTATAGTGCTGTTCTTGAGAATTTACAAATATTCTAAAATGCATCATATCCTGCACTTCAGTAGTCTGAATGTAAATAATCACTATGCAAGATCTATCATCCCAATTTTTGAATTTAATTATCTAGCTGAAAGCAAGTGAGAATGGATGCTTAGAAAATAAGTAAATAAATAAATAAATAAATAAATAATGAATAAATAAAAAGTAAATAAATATAATAAAATAAAATAAAAATGACCACTGCCTGAGCATCAACTGTTGTGGATGCCACACCCATCGGCATGAAAACAGCAAATGATACAAGTTAGTAGTCAAAGTTTTCTTTCACCAAAATAACCTTCTCAAAAAACTACATTGCAAAAATCAATAAATGCATCAAATTTCCTATGCAATAAATAACCCTGATCAATGCTCAATATATTTCTATAACTTAAAAACAACTCCGACATAAACTTAACCAAAAAAATGACAATCCTTTAAGCAAAAATATCATGCACTACCTACAGCAATAATAAACATAATACAACTATTCTCTCTAATATAACCTACACCCAAGTAAGCATCCAGTTCTCACAAACAATAACCTTACCTGTAGAAAGACTGGCAGTGTAACAACTCCATACATATTGAAGTTTCTAAGTAAAATCTAATATACTGAAAATCACTTAAATATCGTACCATTAACCTGTGCCTCCAATGATCCTATTTTAATTATGAACGGTCTACCTGCCTGCATGAAACAAACTGAAACCCTAAAAGCAAAACCTACCATATTAATACAACCTGTCAGATACGAAACACATATTTACAACATACAATACACACCTCTCGTGAATTTCAATACCCGCTTCTACCACCTCAGAAAGCTTATCCTGATGGTAAACACTCCAAAAAAATCACTTATCCTCTAAATATAAACCACATACTCCCCAGAAAACCCGAAATTAACTTACCAAAATCACAGCCAGTCACAATATTTCACACAATCAATAGAAACAACAACACCTTCCCCGATCAGCTGACAGTTCAAACGGACGTCGTTAACTCCGGGTTACGTTTCGTAGTTTTTATTTCTATTTCTCATAAGAAAATTAAATTTATTCCATTTATATTATGAAATTTACTTTAAATTAATTTTCGAGTCATATCTGATGCCATATTTAAAGTGAATTTGAAAGAATACGTAAATATTCTCTATTACATAAGCTGATTGTATTCATTGTCGACAGACCTATCGAAATATTTGTGAAAATGTTATATTCACTGAATATTCTTTACCTGTGATGTTATTTCATATGGAGACTTCTTTTAATTCTTCTTAACATAAAACTACAGCGACATTATTCTCATTACTGTAAATATTATCATTATTTTCATTACTAATATTATCATTATTTTCATTACTAATATTATCATTATTTTCATTACTAATATTATCATTATTTTCATTACTAATATTATCATTATTTTCATTACTAATATTATCATTATTTTCATTACTAATATTATCATTATTTTCATTACTAATATTATCATTATTTTCATTACTAATATTATCATTATTTTCATTACTAATATTATCATTATTTTCATTACTAATATTATCATTATTTTCATTACTAATATTATCATTATTTTCATTACTAATATTATCATTATTTTCATTACTAATATTATCATTATTTTCATTACTAATATTATCATTATTTTCATTACTAATATTATCATTATTTTCATTACTAATATTATCATTATTTTCATTACTAATATTATCATTATTTTCATTACTAATATTATCATTATTTTCATTACTAATATTATCATTATTTTCATTACTAATATTATCATTATTTTCATTACTAATATTATCATTATTTTCATTACTAATATTATCATTATTTTCATTACTAATATTATCATTATTTTCATTACTAATATTATCATTATTTTCATTACTAATATTATCATTATTTTCATTACTAATATTATCATTATTTTCATTACTAATATTATCATTATTTTCATTACTAATATTATCATTATTTTCATTACTAATATTATCATTATTTTCATTACTAATATTATCATTATTTTCATTACTAATATTATCATTATTTTCATTACTAATATTATCATTATTTTCATTACTAATATTATCATTATTTTCATTACTAATATTATCATTATTTTCATTACTAATATTATCATTATTTTCATTACTAATATTATCATTATTTTCATTACTAATATTATCATTATTTTCATTACTAATATTATCATTATTTTCATTACTAATATTATCATTATTTTCATTACTAATATTATCATTATTTTCATTACTAATATTATCATTATTTTCATTACTAATATTATCATTATTTTCATTACTAATATTATCATTATTTTCATTACTAATATTATCATTATTTTCATTACTAATATTATCATTATTTTCATTACTAATATTATCATTATTTTCATTACTAATATTATCATTATTTTCATTACTAATATTATCATTATTTTCATTACTAATATTATCATTATTTTCATTACTAATATTATCATTATTTTCATTACTAATATTATCATTATTTTCATTACTAATATTATCATTATTTTCATTACTAATATTATCATTATTTTCATTACTAATATTATCATTATTTTCATTACTAATATTATCATTATTTTCATTACTAATATTATCATTATTTTCATTACTAATATTATCATTATTTTCATTACTAATATTATCATTATTTTCATTACTAATATTATCATTATTTTCATTACTAATATTATCATTATTTTCATTACTAATATTATCATTATTTTCATTACTAATATTATCATTATTTTCATTACTAATATTATCATTATTTTCATTACTAATATTATCATTATTTTCATTACTAATATTATCATTATTTTCATTACTAATATTATCATTATTTTCATTACTAATATTATCATTATTTTCATTACTAATATTATCATTATTTTCATTACTAATATTATCATTATTTTCATTACTAATATTATCATTATTTTCATTACTAATATTATCATTATTTTCATTACTAATATTATCATTATTTTCATTACTAATATTATCATTATTTTCATTACTAAGATTATCATTATTTTCATTACTAATATTATCATTATTTTCATTACTAATATTATCATTATTTCCATTACTAATATTATCACCATCATTCGGATCATTATCATCATCATGATTGTCATGAATTATTATCATCATTGTTATTATTATGATTATCATCAATCATCATTACACCATACATTTATCACAATCGCTATCATAGGTATTACTGATATCACAATGAATACTACTGTCATTATAATTAGACATCATTAACATTCCCTCTCTCATTATTGCCATTAGTATCAATGGTTATTATTGTTATCATAATTACCATTTAACCTATTATAACTGGTTCTTCAACAAGAGAACATGATGGGAAATGGCAAAAAAAAAATACATATATATCTTTAGATAAAACGTTTACATACCGTTTAATAATTCTAAATTTAGTAGGTAAGGTCAGTGCTTTATCTATTTACCAACTGTAGATAATGTGACATTCATATATCTTCAAGATTTATTATACGATATGGTATGATAAATATCACTATGCCCCCTCCCCCCCCAAAAAAAAAAAATCTACTGACCTCATCTGCATGCTAGACTTAGGTCAAGATATATAGCTTCCTTCAAACCCAACCTAGAGATATTATCTTCGTTACTAAGGATACCACAGGTGAGTCATTGCCAGAGAGTGCAATTTTCGATCTCACTCGAAAAGTGTGAAATATTATTATGCTGTTAAAATACATGCACACAAATATAGGCATTTCGATATATAATGTATCTATTTAGATATGCATATTTATTGTTTGAATTGATATATTTTTTACTAAGTATTGGTTGATACCGAGGGAGTAAGTAGATAAATATAGTAGATAAACATGTGCAAACACTATGCATTATGGAGATAGGGGATACTAATGATCGTTAAGTATTAAAAACAGTTGGGCGTTTTCCATTACTTCACGATTTAGAGACTCATAATTTCAGGCCTAAACCACAAAATAAATAAGGACAAAACATAGCACAGGTTAACAAAATGCTTGCCACATTTAATACGTTTTGAAATCTTCTTGTGCGCTCCTTATTCGCAGAGAAATTTCACTGTCATCCTTTGATTGTAATATAACAAAGAGGGTTAAAAAAAAGCTGAAATTGAGTGGTAGAACCCTGTACCATAAAGGCGTGACCTCACCTTAAGGTTGCTTCCATGACCTTCCAAGTTCTCAAAGTCACTTTATCTAAGACCGATCTTGGGGTGGTTACTGTCCCAGGCGGCCCCCGATTGAGTGAACTGCCTCCCATATTTTCCTGAAAACGGATCATATTTCGCTTCGACCTTTGCAAAATCGGTCGAAACTGGTGCGACGCTAATGAGTATTTACATCCTTTAAGTGGAAATAATGGTATTTTCTATAATTAGATGGGGATTTAAGATGTAGTTGGAGACGAGATGAGGGCCCCAACCTTCATCTTCGTGTGACAGATACAAAAGCTACTCTGAAATCTGTTTCTTATTTTTAGGATTTTTTTTTTAAATGCCTGAACTCGTACATGGAGTGCTATTAAAATAAATAAAAAAGATTAATGTATGATCTGTGATATGTCTATGGGTATGCTTTGATCATAACCTGCGTGTCTGTAGTGTGAGGATTGTAAGGCTCATAAACTCATAACACTATAATTATATGTTTGTGAATCATCGTTCTCGGGGAACCTTTGTTACGAATACATGCAGATAGGAAACGATTTTACAACAAAATTATTAGTTCGACTATCATGACGTTAGCAAAACGTGAACGATATTTACCGTTACGAGTTTTTAATTACTATTTACAACT